TCTCTCTCTCTCTCTCTCACTTTTTGGTAGTACTGGGGTTGAACTCAGAGTCTCACGCTTGCTAGGCAGGCGCTCTATCACTTGAGTCACATCCCTTTTTAGTTTAGTTATTTTTCAGATAGGGTTTTTATGCTTTTTGTCTAGGCCAGCTTTGGACTATGAGCCTCCTACCTACACTTTCCACATAACTGGAATGACAGGCGTGTGCTAACATGCATGGCTTAGTTCTTGAGATGGGGTTTAGGTACTAACATTTTACCCCAGCTGACCTCAAAGCAAGATCCTCCCAATCTCTGCTTCTAAGTAGCTGGGATTATAAGTGTAAACCACCACACAGGACTGTGCACAGTCTTTTTTCTACTATAACAGACACTCACTACTATAATGTTCACTGATATTTGAGTCCCAATCTGGTTCCATGGGATAGCTGGATTAAAGGGCAAATAGGTGCATAGAAGTGTTGTTCCAGCTTTATATGCCCAGACGGTCAGCAGTAAGAGAAATGACCAGTGCCCATGAGGTATGTTACATGTACTTGTCCTCAGTTAGTTAATATGACATGAACTTGTAAACTAACTAACTCCTCACATGTAGGAGTCATTTAAACTGAGAAATTACTTTAAAAACATATATTGACACCAACTCTTAATGAATACCCCAAGCTTCCTCCTGGCATCTCCTATCCTTATTTTCACAGTTGGAAATCTGACGGCTCATACATCTTACGAGATTTCTGCCTGGGCCAAAACTGACTTGGGAGATAGTCCTCTGGCATTTGAGCATGTCATGACCAGAGGGGTTCGCCCACCTGCTCCTAGCCTCAAAGCCAAGGCCATCAACCAGACTGCAGTGGAATGCACCTGGACTGGCCCCAGGAATGTGGTAAGTGGGCCAGAATGACTGTCACAGAGTGACCATGGACCCTTCCCAATGCCAAGCGTCCAGACAGCAACAGGACTTTCTTTGCTGCGCTGCTCTGTCTTTCTCACTCAAACACAAACCACCCTCTTGGCCAGCTGTAGATTACCTAGAAATAGTCATGAAAAACCCTGAGCTCTCACTAGGACTCCCTTGGACCCCAAAGTAGGTTCTACTCTCAAAGGGCCCCTTTGCTCTATTAATGTACCCAATTCAGGGCAAGACCACTTGTCACACTTAGCTTTCTTGCCAGAGTGGAACATAATGTACAGAACACCCAGACATTACTTAATTTTAGGGTCTCTAATTACATGCAAGCTTAGAGAAGCAGCCTTCGGCCTTGTCCTAGCTCATGCACTGGACACACACCTTGTAGCTTTTGCAGGTGAGGGATTAACTGAGACCCCTGTGGGCAGCCCACAGCTCCTGCTCCTCTTCAGTTCACTGAGCACTCTAGCAGCTCTCCCACCATCTTCCTCTTCACCTCAAGAACTGCCATTGTCAATGGCCCATGAGAGGACCCCCTCAGATCCTGGCTGTGTGGCCTCTTCCCTGTTCATCACCACCCCACCCCTATAGACCCATAGGCCTTATGTAATGAGATGGTCCTGGTTCTGAGTTCAGAGCCTCCACTCCAGCCACAATATTCCATCTTTATTGCTCCCTAGTTCCTTCATTCCTGGTCCATTAGCATTTGCTTTCCAACCCCTGGAGTCCCTTAATGCCCCCATGCCTGCTTCCTCCCCTTCAGGGCCTCCCTTCCTCTCTCACTGTCTCTCTTCTGCTCTCCCCTCTCCAGTCCTGTAGTGCCCAGTAGAATTAGAGAAATCACACTGTTGTCAAGGACCTGAAAACCCCTTTGCACTTCCTCAGTCTTTCCCCTGTCCCCATAGTGCCTCAAAACCTGTATAGTTCTCTTCAAGGCCCAGCTTCCTGCTCATAAGCTCTCAGAGAAAATACTTTGATCCTACCTTAGAAAGAAACCTGCCTCAGTTTTTACCTTCCCCTTATCAATTCACTCAGCCTCCACACCCTGCTGTAAGCTTTATCAAATCCCATTTCCCTGCTTGAAACTCCCCCAACCTCCTCTGTGTACCCACAGGAGTGGGAATGGCTACATTAACAGGAACAGAAGGAAGCAGTGCTCTAAACAGTTTGTTTCCCTGTTGATTTAAAGAAGCTTGGGGCTCAACAGTCCAGCACTTCTGTCACAACAGTGCAGTTTCACCCAGGATGCAGGCCCTGCCATCTCTAGCCTGTGGCATCCATCTTCAAGATCACCTATGGTCCAAGAGGCCTGCTCAGGCCACAGCCATTGTCTATATTCCAGGCAGCAGGAGGGCAGGAAGAAGGGCTGTCCTCCATTGTGATGAGCCCTGCTAGGCTTTCCCATTGAGTGGTTCTGCTTTTGTCTCATTGGCTGGTACCTGTCACATGGCTCTCATAACTTCCATGGAGGTGGGAAGTGCAGACCTCTTTGTAAGTAGAAGTTCTCACTATGAACCAGGGTTCTAATGAGAGAGGAAAGAGAGAGTGGGGAGCTGCTGGACAGCTGGCGGTGCCTGCCTTCTGTGTTCCCTCCACTCACTGCCCAGATTCCCAGACTCACTCTGCAACTCTCATGGTTTCCCACCCTCTCAGCACAGCTGGTCCACTCCCCTGTCCCTGCTGCACAATGGTAGAATGCCACCTGTCTTTGATAAGCCCCACCTTTTCTCATGCAATCTTCTAGTATACCTAGTGCTCTGTGTTTGCACTTGTAATTGATAGTTAGGTCTGTTTTTCTTCCCTGCTCATCTCTCCTCAAGAATGAGCTGAGGACAGAGGGTGCATCATGTACACACTGCCTGCCCATTCTCATTACCTGCTGTCAGTGTAACACATATT